TAACCATTCTGTGATTCTATGATTCTATCTTTGGCTGGTTCTCTCGCTTAGCAGAAAAACCACTTCCCTGCTAGAGGAGTGCACATCACGCTTCCTGCCCGCCCTGCTGGTCCCCCCGCCTCCTTCCCCACCTACTCAGCTGCTGCCACCTCTAAAGGTCAGCACCGAACGTGTCCCTAGGGACTTTCTGTCCTCCCCACTGCTCAGAGAAGTTGGGAAACATGTTTCTCCAAGCTTCTGGCTGCGCACCCTGGGCGTTTCTCTGCCCAAAGACACTTCTGAAGTGTACCTGGCACTTTGTCTTGCGCTCACCAATAGCAAGAGGAGGGGACATGACAACCAGTTCATGGTAGAACAGTTAAACAACAATACAGTTTTCATCAGAATTCAAAAATGGACCGCAGTGGGATTTCCCAAACCAGCGAAGCAAGCGGGGAGGTTAAGTCAAGGTCGTGCTGCCTCTGACTGAGAACAGGTACTCACAGAACCTTCGTCGATGGCCTCCTACCTTGCCATGCCGAAGTCAGACACTTTAACGATGTGCTCAGCGTTGACTAAACAGTTTCTTGCGGCCTGGGGAAGATAAGATAAACGTATCATCTGAAACCCGTGCTAAAGCATTTTAAGAAAAATTTCTTTCAGCTCATATTGGTCACATTCTAAAAGGTGACGAGCGTCTTGCTCAAAACTTTAAGTGACTTTCTGACTCTGAGTCAGTGAACATACTTCACTGCTGTGTAGCTACCCGTACAGCTTATATCATCTTAAATGCTAGCAGTATGAGTTGCAATATTTTTACATATTCCTGCATGGTGAAAGAAATTTTAGACTGCAGAGTCTAGTTAAGCAAGCAGATGTTTTCCTGAACAGTAGCATTAGGACACTCAGTGTGAATTTTTAAAATTTCTGTGTGACTTTTTCATTACAGAAATTAAGAACTCCTTGGAAATTTTCAGGATTTTGTATTTCTTCAGGCAACTAGGGAGGAGAGCAGGAAGATTTCCTCTCTGCATCCAGATGTGAGCATTGAACAAGAAGCAGAGAGTAAGGAAACAAGCTCCTCTCCTGTGTTTCCCTGTGTGTAAGGAGTAGGGTTGAAAAGCCACCCAGATATCCCAGCATTAAGGTAAGGCAGTAGGAAGCAGAAAAAACATAGCTAGAAAAAAATTTTGTTTTATATAAAAAAAATCCTCATTGTTTCTGACCTTTTGTATGGCTGCAATTTTAGTTGTGTTGTGACCACTGCGTGATAGTCTTGTCCTAACATATTAGGATGTCCTAACATCAGCCTGCTCCATGCTGATATCCCTATTTTTTCTGACTTCTCTCAGTTATCAGGTAGTTTTTCCAGCTGCTCACAGAAAAAAGAACAGCTTAAAAGCTTTGACTTAGAGGCAGGAAAACACTATTGACTTATCAGATCCTGCAGGGTTGAAGTGTTACAGGGCACATTAGCATGCTATAAAATGCAGTGGCGTGTTCTATACTGCCAATATTTACCAAGAACTTCAGAAAAACTGTTGGACTTACTAAATCACGGTGAATAAAGCTATTTCTTTCCAGGTATTCCATCCCTTCGCACACATCCTGGCACATGCTCAGCAGCATGTCTCTGCCCAGTTTCCCTCGCCTTTGCCGAAGGTAGTTGAGCAGGCAGCCGTTTTCCATGAATTCAGTCACAACGTAGAGAGGCTTGTGGTGTGTGCACACTCCATAAAGCTGGACCAGCTTCGGGTGGGAGAGTTTCCTGTTTAAAATCACATGTTAGGCAGGCTAGTATTTGTCCCTGGCAGGTAACTAGATCTTTGGTTCTCATGATGGTTTTGAAAAAAACTTTCAGGACTTGATAACATTCCACTCGACTGGCCTCAGAGTTGTCCCACTATCTAATACATTTCTGCCTACACTTTCCTCCAAGAAGTGCACGCTTTGAATTAGTAATTGTTCATCACTCACATAAATGCAGTGAATGCATAGCTTGGTTTGGCTGATGTGAAATGGAAAGGCCTAGCTATGCCTGTCTTTCAGGCAGGGGACATGACCCTGCAAGGGTTCTTCTCCTCTGGGCTGTGGCAAGAGCCAGTTGGGATACTTCCCTAATTTGCAGAATTAGCAGACGTGGCAATATAATTTCTCAAAAGCTTTCATTAGGTATGGGCTCTGCCAGTGGTCCTAGCAGCACTGAATTATGGATGAAAGAATAGTTGTAGAAGCACCTTTGTTTTTCAGCACATTTATTCCCCATTGAGCTCCACAGCACAAAGCAGTGCACGCTTTAAAGAGCGAGCCTGGCAATGGGTGCAGCGAGCATTTATGTCAGTCAGTTCAGACCTTTATATTAGCCTTTCTGTCCTGCCCATCCACCATTCCCATCAAACTAGTTCATCTCTTTGTTTTGAATGGAATAAGGTTATGTTTATTTCTTGGTTGCCTCAATGACAACCATCAGATATAACAGCTTTTGTACTTACATCATCACTTTGGCCTCCTCGATGAAGTCATCTTCAGACATTGCACCTTCATTGATTGTTTTGATGGCAACCTTGATGGTTGCTTTCCATTTGCCCAGCTGAACGACTCCAAACTGCCCACGTCCAAGTTCTTTCATGAACGTCAATTCAGATGGGTTTAATTCCCACTCCTCTATAAAAGCAACCCAAATAGTTACAACAGTCAGGTCAGCTTTCCTGAGCCATGTTCCAGGAGATGTGCTTTGCTATTTGCAGTTAATGCATGCAGCAAAACATCACAATTGTTCATCAGCTATAGCATGAATTTTAAATATCTGAACATTTCCACATGCTCATATATGTGTTTATAAGTGAATGTCATTTTACAGCTTGTAGAACGTGATTAGTGTTTAAATTGCTTAATTCAAGAGTGTCTGAGGCTTAAAGATAAGACAAGGGTTTAGCTTTGATTGCATATGAGAACTTCTTTGGCATTATCAGATGTGGTGTTGAACTCTGAACGAGTTCTGGATGAGTAGTATCGCTACAGAAACAGTTATTGGCTGCCTCTACTAATAACCACGAGAGCTCTGCCCTTCAGAATGTTAAGCCTTGAGATTAATGGGAACACTCACAGGAAAGATACACCATTTTGGAGGTTCCTAGCATCAGCCAGATGATACCAACTTCTTGATCTGTATATACAAAACTAGTATTTATTCCTTGTTTTCTGATACTGTGTAAGATTTCATTCTTACTTCTAAAACTTGCAGAGCTGACAAGGAAAATCTTACTCATAAATAATATTCATTTCCATTTCCTGAATGTAAGATTTCATCCTTACTTCTAAAACTTGCAGAGCTACAAGGAAAATCTTCCTCATAAATAATATTCATTTCCATTTCCTGAGAATTTAAAAATCAAATAGGCTTTGAAAAGCTATTAAATATATATTTGAGTCTTTAGCCCGCTTAGAAAAGTCCAGATAGCTCTGAAATGCACTGATGGTTGTAACAGAACCACAGCAGTCGCTGAGAAGGACTCGAGTCAGGTGTGTCATTTGGTACTGACACCTTACAAGGAAATGAGTGTCTATTTCTGGTGAATATGCGGTTTTTATGTGTTTCTTATTACTGGGAAATTTCATGGGTACAAGTTAATTATTAGCTGCATGAATGTGATCGAAATTCTTGCCTAGGCATCTCCACCAAAAGAAGGCAGAAAACTTACCGTAACTAAATCCTGCTGTTGCTGGTGAGGAACATCCAGCTGATCCAATCGGGTGTCGGAGACGAGTGATAAGACCTGTAGGGGACAAAACAACAATATTCTGTTGACTGATTGCTCCATTTTAGTCTATCCAAAGTATGCTATATCGTAGCTCTTCTCAAACAAAAATATTTGGAATTTGATGTTCATTTCTTATTTCTTGATGTTAACTTTTGCTTACAGCTTGTTTGGATAAAACACTACAGTGAAAAGAAATGGAGGAAAACTATTCAATAGGGCCGTGACTAAAAAAAAATATCATTACTTTCATACAATCAAAGTGATACCCTTGCTTGTTTGCATGATGTTAATTATATTGAATAAATGTGTCACAATACTGTGTCACCCACCTAAGTGGTTCCAGCATGATTTCTGAGGATTGTTTCCCATTGCAAGAATTATTTTTGTGTCTGTCACTCATTTTCTTTGAATTCATGAGCCAGCAGTACCAGTGAGTACATCCCTCACCCAGGACTCCCTGGGTTCATTCATTTTTCCCACTGTTACTTTCAGGTACCTTATCAGCTTGTATGCATTACCTGCAGCATTGTGTTGATGATACTCGATGAGTTCAGGAACAGATGAAAAGAGATATTTTTCTGCTACGTAATATTGTCCCAAGTGGTTTGTCTTAATTTGATAATGTCGAATATCTCCATTATGATTTCTGAAATCAACAAAGGGTTATAATTTTCAGTAAAAACAGTTTGTACTATAAATCTGATTAAATTTCATTCACTTTGGAAGAAATCACAGAAAAATCCGAAAACTTGAGGTACGATTCTCAACTTAAAATGGCTGTGTGTAGCTGGTATAGTGTGTAGGGGAAAAATAAAAAAGACTTATTGATTGGATCTCTCTTCCAACTTTGGGAGATATTGCACCATGTTTTTTATTGCAAAAGTGTCATTGCATCCATAAGAAATAGCTGTAGCCTTTAACAGATGTCCCTGCTAATTCAGCACTTTTAAAATTAAAATGCTCTTCATTACCAGAGTGTCCTCCAAAAACTTAAAACATAAAACATACTCATGTATTCTGAGGGATTACATTTTCTTCTGCTTCTCAAGAAGCTCCTCGTTGGAGCTTTTACTTGATAAGTTTACTTTTCTGTATTTCTCCACATTATCTGTCTTACTTTCTGTACGTTTTGCTGCTTTCTGGGGTATTCAAAATGAAGAAATGTCAAGTTAGTTAGCATTTCAAGCTGGAGGTGGCTGCTGAAGGTTGGTACCCTACTGCAGTCCTGAGCTTCTGCCCGGCACAGGGCTGGTGGGGAGGATTGTCCCACCTTTCCAAGGAGGGGAGGGAGAGAGGAAGAGGGTGGTGGTAGCAACGATCCCTTTGCCTTGGATCACCTCTGGCTTTCTCTAAGAGGGAGAGAAGGAAAGCAGACACCACTGATGCAGGAGAATGTAGGAGGGCTGAGGGAGGGGGTATAAGGCAGCTCGAGGAGGGGTAAGACAGGGCTGTTGGTGATTGCAACTGACGTGGGAGAAAAGTGAGTCCTGTGACAGCCCTCCAGCAGCAGAAGTTAGACTGCACAGTGGGGAGGTGAGGTGATTTTAGGAGAAAACCAGGAGAAGTTTGGGGGCAGGGAGTCTGGGATGAATTTACTGTGCGCAGAGCCTGCGGAGAAGGGAAGCAGTTTGGTGCAGCAGCCAAAGGCTGTGGTGCCATGGCGTGGCAGCTGTGGCACTTCAGGTAGGAAGAGAGGCAAGAAGATGTGAATGCAAGGTCTTATTGCCTGCATTACATGGGTGGGATGCACGGCTTTCACAGCAGATTCTTTGAGGACTTCAATGAGAGCAGTTAATCTTGTCTCGGCAGAACATTTGCACCTTGGCTCCCAGATCCACTGCCCACCATCAACATTTCTGCACATGGGGTGAATAACTCTACATGAACAGCAGCCCAGTGGTTCCCTGCTCCTGTCCACCACATGTCCATTTAGCCCAAGGACTTTGAGGAAAGCCCTTCCATCACCTCTTAATTCAAATCCCGACCATGCAAGAGCTACTCACCCTTTGGCTCGTGAATACACGGACAGCGTAAGAAGTCCCTGTTGGCTTGAATCTCTGACAACAAATGCCCCTTCTTTGGACTGAAAAGAAATCCAAGTAGAGTTATTTTCTCCTTTTGAGCATAAATAATCCTCCCTTCAGATAGGACTTGCAGCTGATAACCAAATTCTATGGAATACATATGACTACTTGGGAAGGGGATAAAGCAGTGGAGAATGGGAACTGATAACCAGGTAGATAGAAGAGAAAATTAACCAAGGGAAAATACTAAGTGCCAGGCAATTTCTTGCAGTTAAATAATTTAGGTGGATTATACTCTTCAGTGTGAAGTAGCGAAAATGCTTTGATGTATTAAAAAATCAAGTTGTACAAATCACTACAATAAAATACTGTAAACCAGTTCAATCTGAGATGTTCTTCTCTGGTCTGTCTTGCCCAAGCCCTGTGTTAGTCCTTGAGCAAAGGCCTAATGAGCTTAACTGAGTTAGGCACTTTGGTAACTGCTAGGGGGTGGAACACAATATGGGTTGTTTGCTCTATTCATAAGGAAGAGGCAGGGGTTTTGTTAAACTCTGACACCTTGGTAACGTCCTTACTGCACAGATTTCAGTCTTCAGTGTTTCACACAAAATATAAGCACAGTAAACCGCATGTTATTCAACTTATCTAGTACGGAAAATCTGCATTGAAATTGCTTGGGCTACAACTTAGAACTCTCTGAAGTCTGAATAGTCTGCAGTGTACGCTTACCCCAGAAAACCTTTTTATTTTCAAGTACTCTCTCTCAAAACTGCATACCAAGCAGTTTTGAATTTGCCTGGGGTAACGGTCTTGATGCCTCTACTGATAGATCTTTCTAGATATCGTTAGCTCTCTGTATAAGCTGAGTTACCTTCTGGCGCAAGAGAAACTCTGCTTGGCTTCTGTTTATGTTTTTGCAGTACCACCTGCAACAAAGAGATAATCTATCCTTTAATTTCAGCCAGTAAAAATGATTTTTTGCTGTTTCACAAAAGTAATCCATCTTCCCAGTCCAAAAACCTGAATAGAACTGTTGTTGTATATGAGCATCTCTTAATTTGGAATGACTTTATGAGATCACTGTGAATACAACGTCATTCCCCATTCACTCTGATTAAGTATGAGCTCAAACAAAAAACCCTGCAAAATGTTACACCAAACTGGGATGAAATTTATGGTCCTGCTCAATGTATCAAGCCTCCCTAACGTCTTTCCCCATTCACTCTGATTAAGTACGAGCTCAAACAAAAGAAAACCCAGCAATATGTTACACCAAACTGGGATGAAATGTATGGTCCTGCTCAATGTATCAAGCCTCCCTTCTCTAGAATTTTGCAGAATTTTACTCTTCTCTCCAGTAAATTAGGTTGAAGTAATCAGAATTATCTTCTAGTCAATTAATTACATGTTCACAACAGGAAGATATCAGAATACAGAAACATTAGCTAGTGAGCCTGCAGAAATAGGAAACATCTGGATTCTGACATTGTGATTTATGCAAGTGAATGTTGTTGAAGTACTTGGTGTTTGTAACTTCATGTAACATTCCCTGAACAAATAGTTCCAAATCCAAATGGTTAGTTCATTCTAAGAGTAGAAATAAAAATAAAAATAAAAAATGGAGCTTTCAATAAACATCTGTTCATGTCTAATAAAGACTGAAGGATCAACCACTTAAATGTATCATTCCATTTTTAGAAAATAAAGTGCAATTATAATTTTCAAGGGTACTTACTCATATGTTTCTAAATTACTTTCCTTGTTCTCAGTAACATAGTTGCTGGGAATTAGACCTTCATTCCTGAAATGACATATTGAGGATAGTTTAGATTGGATATTAGGGAATATTTCTTCACTAAAAGGGTCATCAGGCATTGGAATGGGCTGCCCAGGGAAGTGGTTGAGTCACCACCCTTGGCGGTATTTAAAAGACATGTAGACATGGTGCTGTCGGAGGTATTTAAAAGACATGTAGACATGGTGCTGATGGACATAGTTTAGTGTTAGGTTAACGGTTGGACTTGATGATCTTAAATGTCTTTCCCAGCCTAAATGATTTTATGACTCTCTTATAGAATGGTGTATAATATTCATAGGATTAAGATATGCATCTGCCTTTTGTTGAACTATAAAGCTTACTTGCAGTATTGGCTATGTTATTAGATACTGAATCCCAACATTGGAATTGAAAAGAAGTCTTAGTCCTTTGGTCCCAGACATGGTCTTTCTGACCCACAACTGTGGATGGTGACAGCTATTGAAATGAGTAAGTCAGCTGGGATAAGATATTTATAGAATGCTGAGAGCAGGCATGTTAATGAAAATTTTCAAGTCAAATCACAAGAAAATTTAGGAAAAAAATAACATTTCTTCTGAATCAGAAGCCACTCCCTTAATTTCTAACCTTGTAACTATATAAAGCTTTTTTTCTTTAAGTGTGAAGTGTAAAAAGTGCGTGCCTGCATGTATATACAAAATAATAATCCACCGGACTCTGTCTATAAATATGAGCTAAGAAAAAGCATTTGAAAGAGTTTAAAGGAGAAATCTGAATGAAAAGGAGACAGTTATTATGTAACACATAACTATTCCCAGCATGACAGTACAGGATACACTGAAGAAAATGCAAAGGAGAAAGGAAAATGACATGAAACATCCATAAATGTGGAAAGGATCCTAGCTGAAGTTATCAAGCTCTCTAAAATGGCCAGGAATTTTTAATCAGGGATTCTATTTCAGGCACGTCTTAATAATCTCTACGGTCTTTATGAAGCTTTTACACATACAGACTACATTGTAAAGAACTTAAAGTATGGGAAGCTGGATTTGCACATGGCTCCGGCCAGGAATTTTTAATCAGGGATTCTTTTTCAGGCACATGTCTTAATAATCTCTACAGTCTTTATGAAGCTTTTACACATACACACTGCATTGTAAAGAATTTGAAGTATGGGAAGCTGGATTTGCACATGGCTCAGAGCCCAGTGATTCGCAAGATCCTCAAATGCCCTTATGTTGCTCAGGAAATTGCTGAGCCTAGGACTTAGCTCTGAATTCTCAACACGTTCTAGATTCCCCACCCATTTCTGGGGCACCAAACACTGCCAAAAGTCTGCCAGGTCAAACTGTGCACCTCGTACATAGCTGAACACTTTCAAACCTGCCCCTAAATTGTTGCACATGTCTTTCTATCTGCCTGATTTCACAGGGGTTATTTGGGGTTTTTTTTCTTTCTGTATAGGGAGACTGAAATAGATGCCCGCTCTCTTACCCATGTTGGTCTCTTGCCTTCCACCAGTGGGGATCATACTGTTCAAGGATAATGTATTCTTCTGATTTCTTGAGTGGTAAATCCGAGGGTCCTCTGGCAAAAAAGTCATAGAGAGCAATAACTCTGGGTTTTTTTGTGTAGTCTTCCAAGGCTTCGGCAGGTAGAGGAGGTAACGGCTTGTTCTTTGACTGCAATTGCCTCTTGCGCTAGTGAAAAAAAAAAGTATCTTTCATAATTAGTCTTTCTCCCTAGTATTGCTTGCTTAATTCCCTTGCTATTATACCATCTCACTAACTAAAAGGAACTCATTGTGGTCATTACTTCCCCTTGTAAAGCACTATCACCTCATCGCTTGTAAAACAGCGAGACTTAGATTTGAGTAGTTTTGTGTAGAAACTAAAGTGACAATGAAAAGTACAGTGAATAACAAACAAGCCATCTACCTTGGCTTCTACATGGTATAAATGCTGGGAAACTCCTCAGCTGGTGTAAAGGCAGAGTGGCACTGAAATCAGTGGAGTTACAACGTCTGGCAATTTGGCCATTTATCTGGAGAATTAACACAGAGGGCATTACAGACTTTCTTAGCAAATTGGCAGGAACAGAATAATTTTCTTTTGCATCAGGTTAGGTTCTAGTTTGGCACCTGGCTATGCTTTGAAAGCTCAGATTATTCAGTTTAGATCTAGTAAAGTGAGGTGGATGTTTCCCATGTCAGCTGAGTAAGGCAAACTGGAGTCTTCCCAACAGGGCAATTCCACCCTTTCCACCTCCATCATCCAAACCCAGAAGAGGGAGAAGAAACCACCTTGTCCATGACAGAGAGCTTGGGAAGCTTCACTGTGACCCTGTATTTACATCAGCATGAGTCTTCATATACCTTCACTCTAGAACTTTTATGCAATGAAGCACCTCACGTGCTCAAGAGTTAGTTACTCCTCTCCTCCTTCTGGTACTGAGCCACCATGCGGCACATCACCTCAATTCTCTCTTTTTCACCTGCCAAAACATTGCTTACCTTGCCCTTCCAAGGAGATGTGTAGGAAACGTCTGGTTGTGAGGCTGAATACTCGCTGACCAGGCCAGTGCCAGGGTCCAGGTTCATTTTTGTTCTCATTGCTCTGATTTTGAAAAACATGAAATATTTCTGTGAATACATATCTATAGATTTTCTCATTTAAAAAAAATCATTCATAGATATATATGCCTTCCTTCATATTACGGATATGCAGGGTAGAGCTTCTTTAAACTTATGAACAATTAGGAGTTCTACTGAAAATGCAGGGATTTTTAAAAGTCCTTTATATGTAGATATTTTTATCACCCTAACTGCTGAAAAGCTTGAGCATTTCACATACCTTTTTTGCACTGTGCAGCAGCAGCAGCAACAGCAGAAAACAGACTGGATGGTGTGATCTGTGAACAAGAACATTTCACATATTTTCAGTGTTCCTCTTTGTTTACAAAACTTTCAGAATTAAGGACTATCCTATGTGCTTAGCCCTGTTATTAGCTCTGTCTTGTTGTGTGGTATCAGCAAATCATTGAGGCTGAATCTGCATCCACCAAAGAGAGCAGACCTTTCCTGCTGCCCCAGCTCTTTGCTCTGTCTCCCTTAAAATGTCTTAGCAATTCTGAGGCCATGTGAGGAGTTAAATCAGCTCACTACATCAGAAAGGAAAAGAAAGACCTCGTCAGCCAGAGCAGTACCAGTCTGACCACACCACGGGGAAAGCTCTAACTAGTGCAACGAAAGGGATGAGAATCATCAGGGACAGGAGGTGGCAAACTGTCTCCTTCAGTAATGATACAATTTTTAGATCGTATGTTCTGGTTTAAAGTACTAAAAAAAGGCGTGCTTTAGACTTAGGTGCCAAGTGGTTGACAATCCTGAGAAAAATACGTTGGACAAATCATCATGGACATTGTACAGTTAGAGAGAAATCAATCTAATACATTTTGTATGAGTATTGTATAAGTAGCAGAGAGGATATGGTATTAAGCAGGGTGGAAGGCATTAAGAAGCTCTGAATGAGCTAAATAAATGGTTGACATCTGCTCTGGTCCTCTTCTACTCGGGCTGAGACCTACTTTCCCCAAGTTGTGTCCACACAGCAGTTTCAGCCGAGCTGTGGCAGCTATGGTCCTGTCCTCTTTCCCTCTGCGCTGCTGCTCATCTCATCTCCAGCCAAGAGAGATAGGATGCTAAACCAGCAGGGAATCACTCTCTGCTGGGTCGGTTCCCTGAGCCATCTCACCATCACACATCGCTGGTGGGAGGGCAGCAGAATCAGCGGGCCGGGCTCAGGCTCTCGGGTGCGAGGTATGTGTGCTCTCTTAGGAAACCTGAGAGCCAGGCATGCACAGACAAAACTCCACTCATATTCAGCTGCACCAGCAGAAAATAAACTTTATACCCCACTCCAAGGAGCCCTGAGTTGTCTCTGCCACAGAGATCATAGTACAAAAAGCGGCCTACAGAAAGTTATTTGAAATATTGAAATATCCAAGGTCTCAGTATTCTGTCATTTTATCTTTCACAAGGTATGTCTTTCTCCCACCAGTGTCTTTCACTCTATTTGTTTTTCTGTCATGGCATTTTCGGCTCACTGATCCTAATGACTTAATGCAGCCTGGAATAAATAGCATGTCCCTTCTGGTGCTCTGTAAGACTTTTTGCCAATGCCTGTTATCGGTGTTTCAGCCAAGTGTGCTGAGAGTATGCATCCTAGCTCTCAAAATATTAAGCAACCTTACTACACAATGAAAATGTAATTATTTTCCTTATGAAAGCATCTAATTTGGCAAATCTTAAACTACTAAAAGAAGGGAGAATGTCAGAAAGGTAAGATCAAAACTAGTTCTTAGCTGGAAGAGGAAGAGACCTGTCTCATATGTGTTTTGGTTAGGGTATTTATCTTGAAAGTCGTGGGGCAATTTCCCTTAGACTGTTGCATCCTGTGAAGAACCTATCGCGTGGGAAGCTGATGAGCCTACATTAATCAGAAGGCACTATCATATGGTTAATAAAAGTTTCCACTGACAGCTATGCAAAATACAGCAATTACAAATACCCAAGCCAGCTGACACCAACAATTTTCTTTAAAGAAACCAGGCTGAAGAGACAGGGGCAATGCCATTCATTTGCTGCATAATCTTCCAGTGTACGTTAAACTGCCCCTCAGCTCTTTAAAATTATAGTGGCTGAGATTTGCCTGAACATGGTCTCTAGCATTGTTTTACTACAGGGTTGCAATTATTAATGTTCTAGGTGAGAACAAGCATGGAATGAAAATCACTTCTAAAAAGTCCACTGGGATTATTTCTGGTTTACTACCATTGCTTTTTTGATCCCAAAAAACCCCCATAAACTCAAGAGTAGTGTCACAGTGTTAAGGAGTGTCTGAAGCAGCATTAATTAGTGCCTTAGAAGCATATTGCACAACGATGCAGTCTTGCAGGTACAGTCTTCTGAGGAAGTCATGGCAATTTCATTAGAAAAAGGGTTGTGTAAAATTACATGCTACTTACCAAACTTTCCCAAATGTCTTGGGAAGGAATTGTGTTTCTGCCCTGACCTAGACTATGTTAGGTTTCCATTTCTTTTTATAATCATTTCTGTGTTTCATAAACAGTCAAGACCATGGGTGAAAAAATTCTTGGGTTCCTTTTATTTCAGCCAGTGTCATTGCCTTTAATCGGTGTTTATAAAGTATTTAGGATGTGCAAAAAGGAATATGGACTTCGAAAGCTAGCCTGCTTTTTCTGATTAAACCACCTAGTCTAATTAAACATATTATTCCTCGTTAGACAACTTGCTCTCCTTATAGAACACTTACCAGAAATATTTGGAAGCAGCACTGCGGAGTTTCAATATGACGTAAGAATGATCTTCTAAGAAGATTTTAAAGATTTGGCTGTTAGCACGAAAGCAAGGGCTTCAGGGCAGATGCTATGGACATGTAATTCTGTCTTGCTCTTCTTTATGAGCTCAGCTATTTGAATGAATTTATAGCATAAGCTCAAGAATCCTTTCTGCCTTCAGTGAATTTCGGATTTGCTCTATTAATAGATGCTTTTCATGTTAGACACCGCCTTTACTGTACTAAAAGCAATTAGCAATAAATGAATGTATTATTTAATGTCTTGTCCTATTCATAAAACCACAGGAAAGATACAAGTTAAAGATTCAATTACAGTGCTTCCTGGGACAGGTGCTTCATTTGGTGAATGACTTTTTTTCCAAAGCTAGAGTGTGTAACCAATTACAGATTACAAAATGTGACCAAGTTCTGCACATAAAAAGCAAAGACTCGGATTAATCCGACTAAGGCCAGGGGCCAGATAGGCCCAGGCTGAACTGAATTGCTGGGTCCAGAGGAGCAGCAGCACAAACTTTGCACAGTTACGCAGTTTGCTTCTCCTTGTTCTCCTTATTGGAGTCTTGTAAGTGTCAAATCACAGCCTATCAATCCAGCAGGTATTTACCATCCTAAAGAAGATAATTTCCAGCTCTTTGAAAATAAACCTGTCTTCATGTATCTGTTCTTGGCAACATCATTTTTTCTGAAATTCTTTTGTCCAGGCATTGCTCCTAGAGCACTTGTGGAATTAACTCAGTAGAAATTAATAAAAGCAGAAATTATAGCAGTGAAAACTGTTAATTTCCATGTGGAAATTTGTCAGGTCTGCTAGGAAATGTTATCAAGGAACACAGACAGAGAAAGGCCTTCAGCTCCACAGAGCCAAATCCAGGTTTAGTTTAACTGAATTGTCAGAAAGCATTGACCTGATGAATAGGAATTTTAGCAGCTCAAGCAAAGCATCTGTATGCATTTTACATCCTCCCTAGTTGCTGGTAAGCTTCTTGCACACCACTTTCTCTCCCCCCCATTAAAATAATATTTTTGGAGTGCATAACTCACTACAGAGAGGCCCAAAGCTGCTCTGTGACGCCATTTTAGAAAGACTTGCCCAACGCTTCAAACGGTGAAAGCTTTGATAGGCTCAATGAGTGATTTGATTAAACTTAACCTTCTGCTCATGGCTGAGGAAGGTGTTTACACCCAGGGCTGCTTCCAGGTGCCCCAGCGATGCCGTGTGAGCGATGGGCTCGGCACAGCCCCACAGGAAGCCTGCGTTTCCTGCCTGAAGCTTCTCGCCACCAAACACCCCCTCCTGTGACTCGGGCTCTTCCTTCCTCTCTCCTCTCTTCTATTCAACAGCCATCAGGCAAACAAAGAAATAGCAATAATTTTTAAAACCCTGCATTTTTATGAACAAAAGAAAATATTGCTTTGTTTTAAAATGCAAAGGAGAAATTGAAAATAGATTCCTAGAGTTTACTCATAGTTTTAAATGTTTCTGCTTGATTTTGCTTTCTGCTATGCCTTAAGGTCATATCACTAAAATAAATGGAACTATTCTATCTGGTTTCCTTAAATAGCAATAATTTTTAAAACACTGCATTTTTATGAACAAAAATATTGCTTTGTTTTAAAGTGCAAAGGAGAAATTGAAAATCGATTCCTAGAGTTTACTCAGTTTTAAATATTTCTTCTTGATTTTGCTTTCTGCTATGCCTTAAGTCAAATCACTGAAATAAATGGAACTATTCTATCTGGTTTCCTTCAATTTTGGACTAATGACCTTTTCTTAGGCCAAACACTCTGGACTTGTCAAAGGGTGTTAGAGTCACACAGGTATTAGCAGGCCTTGACCCCTGGGTCCCTAGTTCATGTAAGCACATTGAAGAGTTCATAAATTAAAAATTAATCAGTGATGGTGTCAGTGAGAGTTGTGCTTCATCAAGGAAATCAAATTTCGGATTCCATATTTTGAAAAGAACAGAGATACCAATAAGGTGTATCATATGATGAATGATGGACTTAATGCTTGCAAGAAGACACAGAGAAGAAATACAGGTTCACAAAAGAAATATTCAATAATATTTAACAGTAAATTATTTCTGGAATTCTGTTAAAATAGTTAGGGACCCGTCATTATTTTCAGGTTCTGCCTCTCTATTTCCTACATACTCAAAAATTTTCCCAAAATTTCCAGAAAAATGGGTCAAATTTTCCTTCTTTTAAATGCACAGGAAGGAAAGTTTCTCCAATATCCACAGCCCCACTAGGCCTCTCTGCCCACATTTCCCTGAGTTCTATCAAAACACAAGCTACCAAAACGCATTTGGCTTTGATCCTCAGGTATGTCACCATGGAGCAGTTAGTCAGCAGCTTAAAACCTAAGCTTAAATCAAATAAGATGAGTATTGAAGCTGCTGAATCTCAAATTTGCCATCTTCTGCACAATCTATAATTGTACAGAGAATTTAATTTTTCCAATTTCTGATAAAAGCTTTCAACCTCAGAGTTCAGCTAATTCTACAAATAATTTAACACAGGAAAAGAAGCATCGCCCGTTTCACTGTTCTTGTCTTTTCCTCTCTGGAAATGGCTGTATTAGGATGAAGACACTTGTTATTAAAACAGTGTCATGTTATCTCCCTAGTGACACGTTAACAAATATCAATCCCAACACTAGTACAGAGCCGTGGTTGCCTACTGAATTCTGATGCCCAAAATCAGACCTCAGTTTTGAAACGAGAAGAGATATCATGGCAAGAGAAGCCTGTGGATGAACTGGAAATACTAGGAAACTGGTGTTGGTCCTAGCCTGGCAAATACTCAACATAAAAAATTGCAGCTGACATTTTGATAACTAACCTAGAGACCTGAAAACAAATCTATCTGTGCACAGTGGAGCAGATGGGATGCTAGAAGCAGCAAAAGACTGGTCAGCTGTCAGGAACAGCCATTTGCTTGAGAGGCTGAAAGCTAGTCCCAGGAAAGCAGAGAAGGCACAGTGAAAACACACCAGTCCTTTGAGATGGTCCATTACTGCCAATAACTGGCCTGATAAAGTCCCACAACACCCAGCAGTATGCTTTGGGTTGATAACATTGCCTGAAAAGGCAACCAATTCATACTCCTTTGTGCGTGCAGTCTTCCTCCTATCTTCAGTTAGAACTCACACTAATTTGCAGCCTTGAGGAAGTATCATCAAAGACAAAAGCAACAAATTAGAGATCAATTTTTATAATTTTCACTTTGTCATTTTATTATTTCATAGGTTTCTTGGCTTGGAGTTTCTTTCTGATTCACTATTTCTCAAAGCACTTCTAATTTTGAAAGCGCTGTAGTCCATGTCCAGGACTTGCACTCTGCTGGCATCTTTTGCAAGAAGCTCTTGCTCTTGCAGTGTGGCAGCAGGTGAATTGCCTTCAAAACTGAATTTCAGCTTCACCCATCAAACCCAGATCTTTACTGTAAGACATGATAAGCCTCCTGGTCTGGTATGTCTGTCAGTTTTCAACAGCACTACAAAAATCGATAGTCTGGTACAAACCCACGGTAGAGTTTGCTTCTAAAAAAACTTTAAAAGACAAGCTCTTTACATGTGCAAGCTGAGGCTGTCTTTCCTGTGAGTTTATTGGAAGAAAAGCAGCTCTAGTTCTACCAAACATTACATTCGCATCTACACTGCACATGATTTTTAAGAACAGTATGTGGGAGTATCTCCCTGTCTATATGTAAAAGCAGTTGCTTTGCTGAACCCCTTTGTACAATGGATTCGTATTGGTGCAGTAATTTTCACAGTCAAGACAAGCAGTCTGAACAGACATCACTTGAGCACCACAAAAGAAAGCTGGTTGGTATTTTTACAGCAATATTTAAATAGCTCATTTGCTAAGTACGCTGCCGCTGTGCAAAACAAAACTGCAAAATTAACATACGTGGCCCAGTTTACTTACAGGTAGAAAGAATCATGTCTGGTTGTTGTCCGCTTATATTCAAATGAAAATGCAAAGCTCTCTTCATCAGCTGGGGCAGTAGAACAGCCCTAGCTGAGCTCTTCACTCTGATAACGAAACACGGTAAACCACAAATACTGCTTGACTCCGCCTACTTACCTTTTTTTTTTCTTTAAATAAAAAAATTCTGTCTTTCCTGTGAGTTAATTGGAAGAAAGGCAGCTCTAGTTCTACCAAACATTTCATTCGCATCTACACTGCACATGATTTTTAAGAACAGTATGTGGGAGTATCTCCCTGTCTATATGTAAAAGCAGTTGCTTTGCTGAACCCCTTTGTACAATGGATTCGTATTGGTGCAGTAATTTTCACAGTCAAGACAAGCAGTCTGAACAGACATCACTTGAGCACCACAAAAGAAAGCTGGTTGGTATTTTTACAGCAATATTTAAATAGCTCATTTGCTAAGTACGCTGCCGCTGTGCAAAACAAAACTGCAAAATTAACATACGTGGCCCAGTTTACTTACAGGTAGAAAGAATCATGTCTGGTTGTTGTCCGCTTATATTCAAATGAAAATGCAAAGCTCTCTTCATCAGCTGGGGCAGTAGAACAGCCCTAGCTGAGCTCTTCACTCTGATAATGAAACACAGTAAACCACAAATACTGCTTGACTCCACCTACTTACCTTTTTTTTCTTTAAATAAAAAAAAGCCACCCCAGACTAATCTGACATGTCTTTCCTGTGAGTTTATTGGAAGAAAAGCAGCTCTAGTTCTACCAAACATTACATTCGCATCTACACTGCACATGATTTTTAAGAACAGTATGTGGGAGTATCTCCCTGTCTATATGTAAAAGCAGTTGCTTTGCTGAACCCCTTTGTACAATGGATTCGTATTGGTGCAGTAATTTTCACAGTCAAGACAAGCAGTCTGAACAGACATCACTTGAGCACCACAAAAGAAAGCTGGTTGGTATTTTTACAGCAATATTTAAATAGCTCATTTGCTAAGTACGCTGCCGCTGTGCAAAACAAAACTGCAAAATTAACATACGTGGCCCAGTTTACTTACAGGTAGAAAGAATCATGTCTGGTTGTTGTCCGCTTATATTCAAATGAAAATGCAAAGCTCTCTTCATCAGCTGGGGCAGTAGAACAGCCCTAGCTGAGCTCTTCACTCTGATAACGAAACACGGTAAACCACAAATACTGCTTGACTCCGCCTACTTACCTTTTTTTTTTCTTTAAATAAAAAAAAAGCCACCCCAGACTAATCTGACATCTGTTTTAAAAAAAATAAAAATAAAAAAAAGGGGGAGGGGGAGAAGTGTCTGCTAGCACAAGAGAAAGCTGGTTGGTATTTTTACTGCAATATTTAAATAGCTCATTTGCTAAGTACGCTGCCGCTGTGCAAAACAAAACTGCAAAATTAACATACGTAGCCCAGTTTACTTACAGGTAGAAAGAATCATGTCTGGTTGTTGTCCGCTTATATTCAAATGAAAATGCAAAGCTCTCTTCATCAGCTGGGGCAGTAGAACAGCCCTAGCTGAGCTCTTCACTCTGATAACGAAACACGGTAAACCACAAATACTGCTTGACTCCGCCTACTTACCTTTTTTTTTTCTTTAAATAAAAAAAAAGCCACCCCAGACTAATCTGACATCTGTTTTAAAAAAAATAAAAATAAAAAAAAGGGGGAGGGGGAGAAGTGTCTGCTTTCTAGTACCAGATACATATTTTACAGGAAAAAAATATATTAAACTGCAATCAGCAGGGCTAAATATTTCTTCTAAGGAAAAAAATACAGCAAAATCTCATGATATCTGGTTCTGTTCAGATGAATTTTTGACCTCAACATTTGAAAAAATTCAGCTATAATAAGACAGAGAAGACAGATTGAAGTTGCTGAAGGATGAGTGAACTCATCCAGAAAAAGCGATGGTGCGGTATTTCAACCTGTCTTCAAAGACATCAGGAGAGTCAGCAAGACAGCTACCTCCAGAGGTGTGTTGATCCTTTCCAAAATTAACCATCTAAGGCTACATTCAAAAAAAAAAAAAAACACACAAAAAACTTTCATCTAAAAACCTCACAGTTCCTGACATCTCAAGTATCAAACCCAAGGGCAGGTATGCAGAAATTATCCTCAGGTACTGGGAAGAGGCAGGCCAAGGGCTTGGAGTCTAAGCACTTACCTCAGTGAGGAAACCACTGCCAAAACTCAGCAGTTTGGGTGTGGTTTATCATATAAATGAGTAACAACAGTTATTGTATAGAAACAGGCTTAAGGTTCATTGGAAACTATTACTCTCCTGATTTTCCTATGCTTCATTTGTGTTTTAAGGAAAACATTACTTACTACTATAGCATTCCTCATGACAGTGACAAAAATGTTGGCAATGCCATACTTTGCAGGGTCTCCACTGAGAAACTGCAGTGCAAAGGAGCAGTTAGGAAAGGAAAGACAAGCACAGCTCACCTTCAATTTTCCATGTTCCTTTTTCTACTACAGGTATAAACCCCTAGGTTTTCCCTTCTAACAATACATGCAGTTGGTATTGATTAGATAGTGGTGTGGACTCACTTTGACAGGTTGGTTTGTGTCACTGAGGTAATCTTCTGAGACTTTATCATTAAGAAAAAGGAAGTAGACATTTAAATCTTTTCTGACAGCCTGTAGCCTTTCTGTGAAATAGCATGAGAAAAGGAAAGCACTCCTTCCAAAAAACAACAGGCTTTCTCTCCTTTTGATTGTGAAGGTTTAGACAAAGCAGTGCAGAGATCTAAGCATCTCCAAAATTGATTAGAGAAATACTCAAATGCAACAGTGATGGGATGTATTAAGTTATTAAAGGTAACTGTAGTTAGCTTGATTGGAAATAAACTTCATCATACTCCTTTCTACCTGTCTGCAGAAAAAGAAAAATTTATGGAAGAAGTTTCTGTGCAATCTATTTTCTATTGCCCATGGCACAAGGGCACAAGTATCAAAACAAAACAAAAAAAGAGAGAAAACAGGCAATAGAGTGACTCAGAAACAGCCACAGCAAAACTGAAGTGCAAACACTCCTCACATCCACTGGCACAGAGTCAGAATAATTGAAAAAGGCTTCAGCAAGGCTGAGGAGACATTAGCCTCTAGCAGAAGGGACAGAGCATGCAACTTCTAAGGAGTTCAGGCATTTCTGCACTGAACATTTCATTATGGCCAAATTCACTTAAATATGTTATTCATACTACTATATATATTTAGTATAGTGTGTATTCACACATATACATAACACCGTACTCACAGGGACAATGAGTCTGGCTCATGATGAACTGACAGTGAATTATTTGCAACACAGTAATTGGTTCCAAACAATAGTTAACATCCAGTTTATTTACATACACATGTAGTATGACATTTTCTGTTAAGAACAGAAAGGTTAGATCACAGACAGAAAGAGGAGGCCCTCCTTAAACACACTTGAGAGTCTACTTTCCTTGATTTATAACCCCATGGATGTAGTTGTGTACGTAAGGGAAGGTAGGACAAACTTGTACTTGCAAATTTCAAGAGGAAAACACACTTTATATAAATAAATGCATGGAATTTATATATTTACAATACATACAGCATATAAATTATTTTAAAATTAATCCAAAACAAGGTACTATGGTACACTGACAGCCAGTTGTGCTGAATCTGGGACTTACTTTTCACAAGTAGCATCAAGATGAACCGTGGGAGGTCTCTGGTTGACCAACCAGCATGGAACGGCTTGGAGCATACCACAGCTCAGGTCTGAAGTAAAGCTTTTGAGTGTTACACTAAACTGAAGACTGGGCTGTTAACCTACTATGTGCAAATGAAAGAGACACGTTTTGTGTCCTCGATGCGTCATAAAACACCCATCAATTAAGAAAAACAATGTTTCTGGAGAATCTCTGGAAAGATTTCAATGTCAGTAAATAGCCATTTATAGATACCTTCAATTTTTAAGCATGCAAATCATACTAAACTGAAGACTGGGCTGTTAACAACCTACTATGTGCAAATGAAAGAGACACGTTTTGTGTCCTCGATGCGTCATAAAACACCCATCAATTAAGAAAAACAATGTTTCTGGAGAATCTCTGGAAAGATTTCAATGTCAGTAAATAGCCATTTATAGATACCTTCAATTTTTAAGCATGCAAATCACTACTAACACTACTGCCCGTGTAAAGAGAAACTCAGAAACCATGGACTGTATATACATAGACCCAACCCTGCAAATGGAAATGAAGCTCTTGGGTTTTGGCCACATTCTCTCTCTTCCTCCATAAAAAGCTCAACTTTATCGCTATGCAACGCTGACTTTTCAGAGAAAGTCTAGAGACTGTGAGTACTGCTGAGGATACTGTGCTCATTTCCCAACATCATGTAAAACTCTCCTCGTGCTGGGGCGGATCAGATGTTACAGGCTCCCCGTGCCGTTTAGCAGCATCCAGTAGCTTACAGAATCAAGCCTTTGAAAAGAAAGGGTGAGGCCACATCTCTGGAAAGTGGCTTCTTTCCCAGACTTCTGCTGCTGATGTCTTTTTTTCAGAAAGCATCTTCACCCTCAGCAATGTCAATGATTGCGTGAAGCAAGTCTTCGAAAGTCGGGCGTCCCTCTGGTTTCTAAAAATAAAAGCATACACAACTGTGATTAGAAAGCAATAAAGGTGTTGATTTTGATAAATTATTGATTTGATACCATTCTGTGGCAATGAATTTACCATTTCATTAAACATGACATGCAAAAATATTTCCTTGTGTAGTTTTTAGATGCATCTCTTAATTTCAGTAAGCGTCACCTTTTTATGCTTTGAAAATACATTATGTAGGCGTTGCTGGACTATGCTCTTCATATAACTAATTATTTTCCACTTTTTCATTTTTGTCCCCATCACCACTTCCACTCTTTCTTTAAGCAAGTTGTTCATGCTTCTAAGAATTTTGTTACTCTCTGAAGCCTGTTCAGTGTTATTTTTTGGACTCCGAAATGACACTGTCAGACTTAGGCAACAGCATCCTTCATCTACTGTATTTTATCTTCCATACAGTTCCTTATGTGTCA